TTGAGTATTGGAAGACTTTGGCCAAAAATCATGCAACTACCGACCCAGGGTCAAGTTCAACCAATCCAACTCCTCAAAAGGATAATGATGCGGATGCGTGTGATACGCCAGAGCTTTCAGAGACGGAAGAGAATGAATGGGTGAATGCAATTGACAATGCCTTAACTGAAGGAGCTCAACAACTGCTTGTAACTTGTAACTTGTAAATATTTCTGAATGCACTGTACTGCACTGAACTTTCGAAACGAACTAGGAAATTCAAAAATTTCTCAGTATATATATATATGATATTATGTTCAAATTTATCCAGTGGCTTTTCGTTTTTGACAGGAGATTCGGCTACCAAAGCCACGGATGCAGAGATTGAGACAAAGGAGACTGAGAAGGAGCATGATAGCCCAAGTGCCAGCGCCAGTGCAAGTGACAAAAAGGATCAGTCAGGATCTCCAGCGGCTGACCCGCCTGCCCAGAAGGCAGTCCATGACAGTGAGGCCGGTGTGAGTGAGCAAGCCTTGGCTCTGGTAGCTTTCAATCGCAGTCAGGCCGAGGCCAACAATGGTGGGCAAGACACCAGTCCAGCTGCCCAGCAGGCTTTCAATGGCAAGATTGATGGCAAGTGTGGGGGCGAGACTTCTGATGGTGCCGCTGGGATGGGTGATGGCAACTGCCAGACATTTCCTCAAGAGGCCCATGTCAAAGAGGAAAGTGAACAGAAGTCTGCCAGTGTCATTGATGTGCAACATGTCAATGGCGCTAGCCCTGTCAAAAAGGAGCCTGATGGGCCTGATCAGCAGTCTGGTGATTCTGACGCTGGCATGGAAGAGGCAGAAGGGGGGTTCTCAAGAGAAAGAGAATGAGAAGTCTGGTGGAGTTGGAACTTGCATGGGGGATAGTGCTGATCCACGCCACCAAGTAGACCCTGCTGCTGATGATGCTGATGCCGATGCTATGGATGTTGGCATTGAGCTAGGAGCATTGCCAGATGATGCTCTGTTCAATTTGCGCAAGCTGGCACACGATCCACACTTAGTTCCAAATCACTGGGTTTCACTTGACTAAGTTTAACCCTTCCGGCATTGTCAAGCAACTTGTCATTTGTCGATGTGATTATGATGTCATTGCAACTTCAACCAAGGAACAAATCAAGATGTTGGTTGGAAAGTTTGGATATGAAGCCTTGGCGGTTTCTGTGCGTAGCCTGCCCAGGACGATTGTCCTGATGTCTGGTTGTACAGGATCAGGAATGATGGAGTTGGTTGCTCATGCTCTCATCGCAGAGATGAACGCAGTTTGGGGGGGCGACTGTGATACTATCTCTGTGACTTGGCTCAGCTGCGTGTAGGAATGAATTTCTTGTGTTGGAGTCGGAGTTGGAAAGAGTTGTTGTATGATACGGTTGTATGTAGTTGTAGTTGTTGTAGTTGTTGTCGTAGTCTAGTTGTATTCTTGGCAGTGGGCAGATTAGACTCACCGACCTTGAATTTGCATGAGGTGACCACTTCATTCCTGTGCGAGATAACACCTTTCAAGCAATCGTTTCTTCTCAAATGTGTGGTGCCGCTCTTGAAACAGGTTTGCTTTATTGGCGCAGTGCATGATATGACCATTGACCAGTGAGTAAGTATCGAGTCTTGTTTGTTCGGTGTCCAAGAGAAACTTCGGACATGCGCAGGAGTTCTCTGATGATGGGGATCATGCCGATCCGTGCTTGTACGACGACATCACTACGCTATCGCAAAAGACGCGGCGCTGCATTGTGCACAAGGGAGCATGTGCACTTTTGAATCCAATTAGACTTTCAGATTGATGGCTTGTGCACTTTTGAATCCGGAGGCAGAACCTTTCAACTTTCAACTTTCAACCCAGGCCCTTCCAACACCACAGCCAGTAGACTCGGAATTGACCATCTTCACTGCGGGATTTTCCTGCAAGTGTCTTGGTAGCAAAATGCAGAATACATTCAAGGTCTTTCAGCACGGCGAGTCAGAATTGAACTGAACAGGTCGTGGTCGAAAATGAATACGGACTTTACAGTATTCAAGACTGCACTACGCGACAACACTGTACCTCGTCTTGGTGTTTGGAATGTCACTTGTCAGATTCCCTTGCTGAAGTGACATGGTGTGCCGTGCCAATATTGACATGCGATATGCTGATAAGCTGATATGCCTGAGGAATGCACTTCCCTTGCCACATTCCGAGGGGTTTGTGATGTTGCGCGTGTGTCACAACCACATCTTATGTTGTTGGAAAACGTGGATTCCATGGATTGTGGCAGCTCCAACTCAGCCCAAGATGAGCGGGAGTAGCGAACTTAGTCAATCAGCTTGGTGAAAGTGAATTGGTGATGATGAACCAATCATGTGAATTTGATTGAACATTGAACTGAACTTCAATCTTTGAATGTTGAACCGTGATTGCTGAAGCCCACCGGAAGCATTGCTTTTGCCAGGACAAATCTGACGATGGCATTGCGTCAACTTGGTGAGCTTGGCTATCAGTCCAATGTGAGCAAGCTCAAAGCAAGCGATTACGGAGTTCCACAAAGACGTGTTCGTATCTTCATTGTATGTGTCAGAGACAACATGTTTTCGATACCGTCCAAAGCAGTTGCTAACATGGTTCCTGACAAGTTGGAAGCATTGAAATGTCCGAAGCTTCCGCCCATAGTTGCTCGGTTCCAAGTTCCAAGTTCTTTCCACATTCACCGTTCACAGTGGAGTGCTAGGATTCCAGGCTACTTGAACTTGTTCATTTTCTTCCAGCTTGACTCAGGCTGATTTTCTTTTGGACAACAGCCATGATCAAGTGAGACACGAGCTGGCTCGTCGCTTGCATGCTGCCGTTGAGTCCGCTGCCAAGAAAATGGCGGCTTGTGATGAGACCGGTGTCAATCTTGGAACAGAGCGTTGGGCTGACCAACACAGTGTGTTGGCTGAGAAGTGTTTCCTGGATGCGTTACGAGTGTTGGCCAAGACAAGCTGTAGCCCAGTTGGCCCCCCATCGACTGTGTTGAGCTGAGGTGGTGCGAAATGGCCCCTCACCCCATCCGAGAAACTGAGATCATCGGAGTGGTTTGACACGCTACCGGCCCGTGAGAAGGAAGATTCTTGAACTAAATCCAATGACCTGACCTGACCAATCCATTGAGCTGCGGTTTTACTGTACTGCTGTGACTGATGTGTAATACTTTCTTTGCTTATACTTATAATCGTATAGGTATAGACTGAGACTGAGGTGCTGTGTTTCGTGGAGTTTTGGAACGAACAACATAAAAACAATGGTGAGACTGGGAAAATGACAGCGTTTGCCGATATCTCTCAATCTGCTGGCCGCCTTCCACAAAGCACATTTGAGAGTAAGGCCATTGTGATTCTTTCAAAACAAACAGCAATAAGACCAGGATATGGACAGGTTGCGACTGGGACAGGTTGTGACCGGGACAGGTTGTGCCAACAATCCTACCGAATGCAAAACTTTGGGATGTGGCGGCAAACCGCTTGCTGATAGGCTTGGCGATCATGGTGCCGTCCCTCTTTGTGCTTACTTGTTTGTAGGTGTTTTTTTGTTATGACTCACGCGGTCATGATGTTGTGATATCAAGTCAGCTTCAACTTCAAATCGCAAATGTTCAGCTTTTAAGTTTTAAGTTTACTTTTTGGAGGCAGTGAATGTATGGCGCTACAAGGGCTCTTTCTGTCCGACCTCAAGAACTATATTCATGAGCACATGACTCTCACCCAGCACCAGGTCGGAGATCTTGCAGGAAATGCGTGGCTAGCCAGCCATATAGACATTTAAAACTTAGTGTTTGGGTGGCAGTGGCAAGGATATTCCCAGCAACTAACAACTACAATTATATTCGCAGCTGAGGTTTCCTGCGCATTGTGTGATGGCCAATTTACTTTCGGTTCTTTGCAGTATACGGATTGAAACACAGAGTGAGGAGGAAGAACTTGATGGTATCACTGAGTGTTTACGTCTTTGGCAGTGCCGACAAGAGGTTTCTGCCACGGCTGCAGAGTGATCGAGAGAGAACTGAGAACCTGAACTGAAGCACAGCACAGTCTGTGGCATTCTGCGACAGAGCAAAAGGTCAAAGGAACAGGAACAATGTGCAGTGCTGTGTTCAGTATAACATAGCTAAAATTTATGGTTTCAGTCTTGTGTGTTGCGTTGCACGGCCTGGTTTTGAAAGCTGAGTTGTCCTCTTTGCAATCGGAGTTGCGCAGTTCCTATTTGTCCCTTGCGCCCCTGTTGGCGCACCTTCGGTCCGTACCTTTTTTGTTCCTATATGTCCCTTGCACCTGCCTGGCGCACCTTCGATCCGTACCTGTTTTGTTCCTATATGCCCCTTGCACCTGCCTGGCGCACCCTCGATCCGTACCCTGCACCCCCACACGTCCCAATGTACCGTCCTGCCAACTTGTACCGCACCACTGTATGCACCAACCCACTGTCCCTGGAACCTGTACCGTACCGCTGATATGTCCCCAGCGTACCGTACTCAAACTGCGTAGCCCGGAAATATGTAAACCTGCACTGGATTGTGCATTGCTCTTGAATTTAGATAAAATGCGGGGTGGGAACTTGGAGCTTTGGAGACCTCCCGCAAAACCGAGGTGATTGGAGGTTTAGAGAGCAAGCTAGGGGGAGGCGAGCTTGAAACGAGGCATGGAGAGCTTAATTATCGAGTCCTCCTCCAAAACTGGTTCTTTCACCCACATCTTGGTTCATTTGTGGATTCTACAGGCCTTTGGATGGTTGTAGCATGGAAGAGTAGCATCACCCCGTACTGTCGTCCCAAATCTAGTCCAAGTGGAGACCAAGAAATCTGTTGCCTTTGCTTACATGAAGATCATTGCTGACCTGCTTTAGTTCGAGCTTGAGACATCAGCCAGTGCAATACAGGCATGCTCAAACCTGCTCTAGTACGCTCTTCGGGTGGTCACCAATCAATGGTCACCTTCGCCTCCTCCAGTCTCGGCTCGCCACTTGAGGCTTGAAGCTGCCATCAGGGCTGAAGAGCTTGACCTTTGGGAGGTGTTTCAACAGAGCTTTGTCTCAGTCGCCCCCGTCGTCGTGTTCTTTTTTTCCTTCGGGACGCATTTTGGGACGATCGAAGCCGGGGCGTTCAGCGGAGAAAACCGTGGAACACATGGGGAAGCCAGATGGGCTCCTGGCAGGTCTACGCATTCGTTGTTGAATCTACAGGAACTGGAACTGAAAGTGGAGGTGGTGTTATTCTTTTGCTCAGGTTTCTGATGGTTTCCTTTCATTCCACCCTCAGGGAAATTTCAACATAGACGCGGACGCAATGATTTGTTCGGGCTGCGCGTGTTTCATCAGCTTCATGGCCGTTTTTTTTCAGTCTTTGACAAAGGCGTGGCGAGCGTTTTCACCAGGGAGGGACATCAGAAGAAACTGTTCAAAAGGCAAGGTCCATGATGATTGGAATTCTGCAGGGAAATGGGTCCACATGAATGTTCAGGTGTTTTTCCCTTTAATTGGGCAGCGACGTACGAGGTATGAGGTGATCGAGCAAGCCTCCTTTGTTCAGTATGGGAACCAGGGTTTGATTCTCTCAGATCTCATCATCTAGTTGTTCCAAACAATCCATGGGACTGGAATATTTGTCAACATGGATGGATGGCATTAAGATGTTTCCATATTGTTTTTGGGGTATGTGCTACTGTCATGTTAAGGCCTCAAAAATCCAGGGTGGCCCTTTCTAGACAAGCTCCAAGTGTGCAACCTCTGCTCATAAGCTCCAAGTTTGCATCGCTTTTGCTGCGAATGAGAAAGGCTCGTCAGCCAAGGAAATGCCTTGGAATGGAAGGGACACTTCGTAAAGATCATGTTGCTGCAGAGGGGCCAGCCTTTTTTTAATGCATAGGGAGTGCAGCCCTCAAAAAATCTGGGCATCCTAAGAATCCAGGCCCTTTTTGAATGGACCGGGCAGCAGCTAGCTGATAGTATCTTTGGGTTTGGATTATGAAAGAGATCTAGAGGTCGAAAGAAGAGATTCTTAGGATTCCTGGCCGAAATGAATAGGCCTTTACAGAAGAACCCTTGTTTTTGGCTCATGTTACACTCCCAATGGCCTCAGCTCGTTGGTCATGGTCCTCTCGTCTGTCTAACCGGGTGGACCCCGGGTCTACCGGTTGACCGTGACCGGACGGTGTCTGTCCACGGCCCAGGTCCGATCCGGGATCTTCTTCTGCCCGGTCGCGGCCTGAGAACGCGACGTTGGGGATCGTCGAAGGCTGCCCGGGTCCGAGCGGTGCACCTGAACTCTGCGGACGGTGCGGTGCACCGAACCGAGAATTGGACTGGAAAAAAGTATCTGGATGCCTTTTTTGGGTAGCTTTGATTCAACATATATGGTTCTACCCAAGAATCAGGCTCTTTTACGAAGGCACAGATGTTCGCGAGAATTAGAGAATTGAACTTGATCTGCTCGGAGATTGTAGTCAATCTGAAAGGTAGCAGGCATGCGCTATAGACCATTAGGCGGCATCGAAATGTTGGTGACACACCGCAGAAAGCTTCTTTCGTGGATCAGCCACTGATGGTTGGGCTGCAGCTAATTGCGCAAGTGGAGTCCCTGATGTCACCGTTTCCTCCAGTCTTCTGCAAGAATCAGAAACAGGTGAATAGTATCCCTCTGATTGGTGTCCCACATGGTTTTTTTCATGATCCAGTAACAGGAACTCTTGAAACATTCTGCCGATCCTCCGAGCCGCTCATCACTCTAAGAAGTCTCGGATCTTCACGTTCGGACCGGCCCCTCCGTTCATGTGTCCCCAGCCAGACCGACCCATGACGGACCGACCGGGGCCGTGGGATCGGTGGCGATTCTCCTGCGGGGTCGTGCCGTTCCGGAGGTTCCTTGGAGCGGCTGCAGTTCGGTGACTACTTCGATCAATCTTTGGAACCGCCCTTCGCTTTGCCCACTTCGTTGAAGAGCTTAAGCTTCGGCTTTGAGCCCCGGCTTCGGCACAGACCCGGCTGCTCCACCCAACAAGAATCCCGATAGTTCAAAAATACTCCCCAAGGAGCTGTCAAGATCTTCCAAGTTTTTGGTTGATCCCTAACTCCGACACTCCATGTATGCCAAACAAAACAACCCCAAACTCAACCGCCCCTGGCCCGATGTGTATTTTCCCAGCAAAGGGTCGTGTGTGCGTGAAGGGCTTTGGTTTTGCCAACAAGGACTTCGATAAGCCTCTGGACCTTGTGGAGTTGCCCGACAGTCTACAAAGCTTGACTTTGGGTGGCCTGGAGCAAGGACCGGCACTTGATCTTTGATGGAGGTGTAATAGGCTCCCTTTGGGGGGATGAAGCATATACCTGGAGTCGACCCGGAACTCGTACCTCGGAAAATGGGTACAGTCGTACTTGTTTTAAGGGGTCACGTCCCATTTTCTAAGGTACTTTGGAGTACTAATTATCGCGAGGTCTATTTCGACGAACCATGTTGGGTTCAGAGGTGTGTTTTTTACAGCGTTTGGTTTTATGCAGTTTCAAAGCCTCTTTTTTTGGGTTATGTGCATTTTTGTTGATGTCATTTTTGTATCGCAGGAAATGCATTGCAAGAAAGGCACAGGATATTTCAGAAGATCAAGAATATGTTTAAGCATTCAATAAACAACATACAATTTGCAAAGAATCTGCAGACCAAGCGCCGGTCGTGTGGACTTACAACTAAGTTCTCGTAAAGTTGCGTGGTCGAAGAACATATTAGAATAGAATAACTCTTGCATAGCTTGGTAAGTTTAGCATAGCTCAGCATAAGTTCAGCGTAAGTTTAGCATGCGTATGCAAGTTATGCTGAGCCTGCAGAAAGTTTAGGATATATGCTGAACTTGCTAATCTAAGATAAGAACGAGTTCAGCATATTATGCAGAACTCAGGAAACATATGCTGAACTACTTGCATACACTTTGGGAACTTATGCTGAACTTATGTATCCTTCGTTTTTTTGGTATAAAGGTAGATGAAGTTGGTATGTGGCGTAGTTTGCTTGTGAGGTGAAACAACTGCTAGAGTTCTAGAGTAAGTCACGCTCATATTGGGACAGAGTCACATTTTGCTGGAGATCCAGAAGCCAACTTGAGCCAACGTAAACTCGTGACTTCTCGCAGAAAAAGAAAGAGTCCCAGCGTCGCCGGTACAACTATTTTTTCATATAAACTCAGCACCGCACATTGCGGACCATCGATTTTCAGGTATCTTCACTTTATGCGTTGGAAAAGCTCTTGCACAAACACGCTGCCCAAACCGTAAACCCAAATAGGGCTCGTGATAATCAATACTTTGGAGGGTCCAGGTAGACTTAAGATGACTTAAGCAACACAACATATTGCATTTGGGGCAGAAAGAAGATGCTGCTCCATTACTAAGAGACGTACTTGTGGGGTCTGCCAGGCAGTTTGGGCAGTTTGCTTGATCCCTGAAGTTGTTTGATATCTCATGTGGCGCCCGGACTTCTTCCACTCTAGCCACACCCTGCAGGGTCATGTAACCAAAAAATGAATTGGACTGCCACCGTGAAGACCTGGAGACGGACTTAGCCGGAGATAGAATTGTTTGGAGATGGTGCCAGTGGGTGCATCCAACGTTCTTGGGGGACAGGTGGCCAGCGAATGACTTGGCGTTCCCACCAGACACTGAAAAATGTCCAGCGGACCACCTGGGATTCACCTCCGATCCTGGTGTTGAGAATCAAGTGATTTGTTATTTTCCCGGGGTTGGATCACTGGAAGAAGTGGACCATTCCTTCTTGGGAATGGTATCTATTTTGTTCCCAGCTCCTTAAGCAAGCCCAAGGGATTCACTGGAACTGAAGTGCTAGAGGAGGAGCTTCTTCCGGCTTTGAGAAGGCACCAGCCACGAGACCCCATGGGCTCAGCCCAGATCAGGTGGAGGATTCTGTGGTCGAAAATAAGATCCCTGTTAAATTCTCTTGTGATCGAAAAGAGAGGACATTCAACCAATTTGCCTATTCCATCCTTCCTATTTTTAACTATTATTGCTTTGGTATTTTTGAGTTTCCATGCTTCCTACTAGTATCTAAGTATCTACTATACTGCTTTGGTATTTTTGAGTCGAGTCGTCCAGTATTTTCTGGGGAAACCTGTTGGGATAGCAAGACTTGAAAGATGGAAAGGACAAAAATCATATGGATTCAACTTCCATCAGAAGAGGTTCAACCATGAGTCGTTCAAGTCTGAAGCTCTTCATGCTCAAAGCTCAGACCAAGTAGTTGTATCAATGACGAGGCCACTATTTAGCTCTTTGTCACATCCTTTACCCTTCCCAAAGACCAGCCGCCACCTGCCATCATCTCCTGCCAATACCAACTGCCTCCATCAGCAAATACCCACCACGTGGCTCCAACAAGAGCTGGTCGTTGTCTTCTTTCTTCTTTGTTCAACAGCCAACAAGGCCAACGCTTCAATCAAGAAGTGGCACTTGTGAGATGGCCCCGATCATTGGAACACCTGGCCTTCGGATGTAGCCCCTTGGAAGCGAAGGGCGAGAGACGCGACAGGTTTTGCTTGGACAGTTGATGCCAGAAGTAAAGAGTGGATCCATTTGAATGCCTGCAGAAGAGGGCATGCTCATCAATCCTCCCATCAAGTCCAAGGGATGATAGAGTCTAACGGCATGTTTGAATCGGTGGCATTGCAGGAGATGGTTCATCTTTTGCCATTGGTTCGAGAAGCATCATCCACACCCAAAAGGTTCTTTGTGCAACTCCTAGAACCTTGTTGCAGAGCAACGCGATTGGCGCAATTGGCACAGAGCAAAATTTTGCCATTATGAGGTGAAGAGGAAATAGATTGAAATAACTGCAATATATTGCAATAATGTCCATGAGGTCTGACTTTGAGGCTACTTGGCCCACTGGCAGGTTACTTCGGTTTCAGAGGTCACCTTTGAAGAACCTGGGAAAGGAGCTTCTGAAATTACTATCTCAGCCGCTTGCAACGTATATAGTAGATCGAACATTCAACTTGTCATTTACATTTCACGAAGAGCTACTTCCCATTTGCTTGGAGATATGATCATCAAAAATGATCAAACCCTATACAGCTGTACTAGGGAGTACTTCTCCCATATGTCTTCACACAAGTCTTGGCCAACCTTTAGATGCCTGATTGGTTTGTATGGAGCTCCGTAAGTTGAGTATTGTGGTGCCATTTGCTCACGTCACCTCCTGCCCTCGACATTATTTTATTCGTTCTCATGTAAAATAGGAGAGGTTCACAAGGGCTCGCGCACGTTCTCACACATCCAAAGACCATGCAAACCGCTAGCTGTTTGACTGCTAGGCTTCCTCCATGCGGAAAAAACAACCTTCGTGAAGTGGTGACACATGTCACGCCTTTGCTGCGCCTGTTTCGCCACCGAGACTTCTCGCAGAATCTGACCGGTGTGAGACTTCCGGAGAACTTGAAGTCCTTGGCCTTTGGGCATCGCTTCCATCAAAGCGCCTTGGTAGAGAAGGAGTGACTTTCCCAGACACTCCATGAACTCTTTGCCTACAACCCCAAATTCCACCACCCCTGGACTTTTTCATGCAGATGTTTAAAGGACCACATATACCAGAATCCCGTGGGTCTGGACATCGGGTCTCGGGTCGGACCGGGTGAGAGATGCACCACCGTCCCCGGTGGCACAGAGCAGCGTCCGGTCCGGTGAGACCTACCCAGGTCCACCGTTGGTCCAGGATCGGCCCCTTTTTCGGAGGGAGGTAGAGACTCCTATGCCATGGTCCGTCAGACCGGGGAGGGTAGAGACTGGGTTTGTCCATACCGAGCTCGATGTCTTTTTTGGCAATTCGGGCGCCCGAACACGATTCCTGGAAGAAGCCTCACATGGCAAGTGGTGTGAACGTGAGCTCTGGCAGCTCGATCTACTCCGATCGGCCCCCTAAGAGATTTCGCCGGTCGAAGCGCAGGTGTTGGGGGGTCGCAAGTCCGGGGGGAATGAACAGATGATGTTTCGCGCGTTGATTTGGAGTTCATTTGGACCCTAATCTCCAGGCTCTCCCAGCCATGATGGCTCTTTTGAAGCCAGAATTCAGCGGTCCGGACCGGTTTAGATCCGGATTGGAGCGAAGGATGGCGAAGGAGTGATTGTCTTCTGTATTTCCTGGGATTCCTGATCCCACAGTTCTTTGTAATGGTCAATATACAACAACCCTTAGCAAAACGATTGGCTTCACTCTCTTGTGTTGATTGGCTTCGCGCTTTGCTTCGCGTCGAACGTCCCGTTTTTTTTTCGCCGGTGTGCGAAAGGGTAGGATTTGATGATACTTCACCCCCCCCCCCATATGGGCATGGGTCAAAACCTGCAGCCCTGGGGCCCTGGTCCACCATGTCGCTTGACCAGTTCTGCCAGGTATCCTGGTGCCCACACCCCAGTTCGCCGCCCGCCAGGTTTTACAATCCACGTTTGGGGACGGGTATGAAGAGGTCTTGAGTCCAAATGATGCTGTTTGGAAAGTATCTCTTCAAACCTTCCAAGGTCGATAGTATGGTCCAGTTCGAGGCTGCATTCAGCCACAAACTGTATACGTAAACGTTATATAATCTGTATGCAACGGCAGCATTTTGGTTCCCCTTTTTATTTCGAGACGTTTTGACATGTTTGGGGCCAAGGGCTTCTTGACATTGGTGGCTGGTGCATATGCTTCATGTCAGGATGCGCAATGTGATGACACCGCATGGCTGCAGCTACAGTCCGAGCCAGACCTTCCACAAGATCTGAAAGCGCTGCGAGATTGCAGCCCTGACGACCTGGGCTGTATGGCACAGCAGCAGGCCTGCTCTTTGGCCACAAAGATGGCGTCAGATTGGCCGAATTTCCCAGAGATTCTGGAGATCTGCCACCAGTTAAAAGACGTTTGTCTTGGACGCCCCCTGAGCTTCAAGACTCCAGAGGATGTTCCTGGCGCCTCGGGACAGACAGATTCTGAGATGTCCTTACTGTCCTTCGCAGACTGGTGTCCTTTCTGTTCTTTGGTTACCAGACACTTCAAAAACTCTTTTGTTATTTTGGCGACGAAACATGTTGGTTGAAAACAACCTGAAAACAGGTTACCACAGATTCTGGCTAATTCGCTTCCATGTCCTTCTAAATGCCCAGGGGTACTGCACTGTGATGTTATTTGGCATTACCTTCCAACCCTTTTCTGGCACTGCCAAGAGGTAGCACTGTCTTCCCTCTCCTCGCCACACTGCCACACCACCAGAAGGGTGCTTACTAGGAGAGTCGACCGGCTTTGACTCTTTGATGGATGCCAGTAAGCAAGTTTTCAGGCGGCGAGTGTAGCGATGCGAGGGTTTGCACCACCAATGTCATAGAGTATGAGAAGAAGAACGAATTGGCGAAGTATGGAATGAAAACTGGCAAGTTTGCAGCAAAAGCTGCATCAGACACCCTCAAGGAGATTCTCAAGGATGCCAAGGCTATTGCTCTCACGGGCACTGTTGCTTTTGCGTTCGTGGGCGCTTTCATCAGTGCATTCTTTCCCAGCGCAGGTGAGCTTCCAGTAAATCCCTGCACCTTTGCTGAAGATTGGGGCCGCTGCGTTTGGGAACAGGTGAAACCCTTTGTTCAAGAATTCGTGAGCGACAAATTGGATGAAGCTTTCGCGGACATCTGGACAGCGACCTTTGAGGGATATCAGACCCGATTGTGGGCGTTGAATGCAACAGCCTACGAGAACTCGGAAAAGTTCCCCAATGGCACCATCAAACACATGTCAAACAAGACCAGAGATCGAATGCACGATGACCTCAAAGCAGTGCATGATGCGATGCTGGGGAGCATCAGGCTCTTTCTGGTGGACCGTGCGATCAAAACCACAGCTGGAGCCTACTTGTCCCAGTTTGCGTCGTTGCATGTGAGCATCATGACATATCATGACCAACCTCTTGGGCTCTTGGCAGTACCGCACAGAAGGTGATCGCTATGTCTTCCAGACGGTGTCCGCATGCTATGCTCGGCGGGTCTACGAACGTGCGACAGCTGCCCTGAAGTCCCGAACATCTGCTCTAGAGGTGCACGAAGAGGACTTGGGCACCCACAAATGCTGTCCGTGGTCAATGTCACCATGGTGCCTTGGTTCGTCGGACTGCCCCATACAGTCAGGAGACTTTAAAGATACATGGAAGCTCTGCGACTGGAAGAATTCCGGGTATCGCACCTCCTGCGGTGGCGTTTTGAGAATGTGCGGGATGCTGCCTAACGAGTCTGCCAAATCGGACTCTTGGGCATGTTACAAAGCTCATCGCCAGGAGGTTGAGAAGCAAACGGTCCTGTTTTGGCAGAACTGGCTTGCCCCCATTCCTGATTGGTTGAACAATATTGTGTTGATGCAAGCGCTCGAAGTGAAGGCTGGAACTCAAAAAGCAACCAACAGCACTTTTGACTGCTCGGCTCTGTAGGCTGACTATGACTTTAGAGTCTTTAGTTCTATAGATACTCCCTGCTCGTGCTTTGAGAAGATGACTTTCGAACAGTCGCTCAAAGCAACCCACAGCACTTTTGACTGCTCGGCTCTGTAGACTGACTATGACTTTAGAGTCTTTAGTTCTATAGATATTCCCTGCTCGTGCTTTGAGAAGATGACTTTCGAACAGTCGCTCAAAGCAACCCACAGCACTTTTGACTGCTCGGCTCTGTAGACTGACTATGACTTTAGAGTCTTTAGTTCTATAGATATTCCCTGCTCGTGCTTTGAGAAGATGACTTTCGAACAGTCGCTCAAAGCACTCATCAGGATCCTTTTTTGGGTGAACGTTGCGTTCGGCAGCCGAACGTTTTACCAGTGGGCCCGAAACGTGAGCCCGGCATCGGTCGGTTTCGTTTTGCTGTGCAGCACAAGCCTCACAGCTCGTGTTTCGTGAATGGAGCGGAAGCGACGGAGGGAGGTTCTTAAACATCATATAAACACCTAAAGCATCCTAAAGCTTATTGGGGTCCTATACCATCACACTTGTCTTTGGAGAGAAATTGTGATTCTTCAAAGGGAGGTGAAAGTTGCCAAGTAATTAGAACACATGTGACGTACTGGAACTTATATGTGGTGACCAGCCCCCTTGCCATCTCAGACAAAACTCATTTGGTCTACTTCGCGCCTCCATCCCAGTTACTTTGTGTCGGTTGCGAAACCGGCCCGGGATCTCAAGGTCTCCGGGAGGTGCAATTGCCCGAACAACTTGAGAGCTTGACCTTCTGTGACTATGGAGCCGCGGCGTCGCGAAAGGGGGGGGTCGAGTTCGGTGCCGTGACGCTCGCGTCGGTGTTGGGATCTTCGCTCACACCGTGACCTGCTGGGAGAGATGGGTGACACTGTGCGTGGGGTACCCGGGTGGGTGAAGAAGAAGGGGATGGCGGAGAGGACGCGGGCTTTGGCGGCTTTTCTTACTGAACAGGCTCTACAATTGGATACTTGGTAATTATGGTGACAAGCAAACCTCCAATTGTGTTTATTGTCTTGTTGTTCCCAGATGTCACCGTGTCAATCATCACCTCGCGAGCATCATCAATATTTTGAAATCGGTTTCATGCATTCTGTGGACCTCCAAATATGTACACTCGATCCCTGAAATAATCATTGGTATGTGGATGGCAAGGCCCCGAAAAAACCGATGACCATGAAGACCAAACAAGTCAAACAGGCGGTGTTTCTTGTTCTTTGTCCACCTTGGTCGACTGCAGGAGGCAATCTACTCACTGTCTCAGACAGTCTGCTACACTCCATGTACACAGTCTACTTTAAAACTCACCTTGGAACGTACCGAGTCGGAGCTGCCTTTCCTCCAAGCTGCTTCGTCCAAGCTGCTCCCGTCGGCTCCTTCGGTCCGAGTCGAGGTCGTCGCCGTTGGGCGATCGGAGGGGTCACCGTCTGGAGCGGTGAAAAGCGGTCGCTCGCTTCTCTAGGGTTGGTATAGACCAAGACCAATGTAGACCAGGGTTCATCATGTTGAGACCAGGCCATTATAGGGATTAATGAAGCCTGCCTATCCCTGCCTCCCTACCCAAGAAAAGTGGATCACCTGCACCCAGAATATATGGCATTCCATTCTAACTGTGGCATATTCTAACTGCCAGTCTTCTACTGTAATGATCTCCAGGGAAACCATCCATAACCATCCCCTGAAAACAGAACAACATCATCCACGACGTCTCCACGAAGTCGAGGAAACTTCCATATGTACCGCATCAATCAAACGAACATGCAGCTGAAAGACCTGGCACATCTCCAGAACTTGAGACGCTCGGCACTGAACGGCACTTCCTCACGCGTTCCTCGATCTCCTTGGAGCTCGGGCGCCGATCGTCCGAGTTGCGGAAGTGTGTTCCGTCCAAACCCCGACGTGGCAGTCCAAGCGTTCGCTCGCTTTCCAATGTCACCACCTGCCACTTTTAAGTCTGCAAAAGCCATCATTTCGGAGACCTGTTTATCGTCGGGTGCTGGCAAATGTCATCAAATGTCGTCGTGTCAAGAAATGTTTCAACCCCCCCACTTCGCTTGGAAGGGACGGTGGCCTGTGCAGGCTCTTCTTTCTGGGCCGGGCTCGGGACTCGAACCGAAGGGGCCAACACTGGTGTTCTCGCCAATGCCGGTTTTGAGGATCGGCTGTGAACAGAGCGTGTCAGGGGTAGGGTGATGTGGATTTTCCCTGTGTCGTGAATGTCCTGGCATGGGGAAGAGCTGTTTGCTTGGTTTTGCTTGTCTGGTTCCTGAATTTAGCAAGTCCAAGTCAAGTCTTCCATGACCCTTCAGTTGATGGAGTCAATGAAACAGACAGTTACTATATGTTACTATTTTTGTGACCCATGGCCAGACTTGAAAACATCGGACACGCAGATCAAACAAAGGGCCCACGGTTGGTTATCTATAAATATATATGATGACTCGTGATCCTTCACGGGGACTGTCATGTAGCGACCGTGTAGCATCACGGCTCGATGCCCCTTTGAGTTGAGGTTAGGGGCCCAGCGTTGCCGCGATGGAGCGAGGTGGACACGACTTGATGTTGTGTGCCGTCCTCGCAGGATGGGCTGAGCCAGACGTAGAAGTTCTGGCCAGCCTAGGATGGACGGCGACGAAGCTTGCCACCTTGAGGCATTGCCGTCAGGAGGTGGTCGAGTCGATCTTGGTCTCGGCCCCGCAAGAAGAAGAAGAACTTCGAGCAGGACGACGAGGGCTTGAGAGCTTTGATCAAGCAGTGTGACAACAGGTCACCGAACATACATCGAGCTGATGCTAGCCGAGGATCACAAGACCTGCTCGAAGCACACCTCATTCACCAGAGGGAGAAGAGGAGGCGAACCTTGGAGAGCCTCGAGGAGCGCGAAGTGATTGAGAGGATCAAGATGGTCGGAACAGCCAAAGTTGTCAAGTGGCCAACTCGGCTAGGAAAGAAATTGCACCTGGCAGGTACAGACTTGGCCTTGAGAGAATTGGCGGAGAAGTCGGAACGTGACAGGTGGTTGATGGAGTTGAAGGCCATCATGAAGAAAGCAAAACTACCAGTGGCCACTCGATCCTCGGAAGACTCCCTCATGCTGAGGATCGCCAAGGGCCGGCGGCCGAACACGTTGAGGAAGCATATCAAGACATGGCAGAAGATTGGGCAGTGGCTGGAGTCGACATTCGAGAAGCCGTGGCCATCAACGCCCACGGAATTCGCCGAGTACCTGGAGGCGATCGTCCAGGAACCATGCGCCAAGTCGGCGCCTGAAGCGGCCTACAAGACGCTCATGTTCCTGGAGTTTGCAGGAGAAGTGGAGGAGAGCCAGTTGCTGCACCGCTCGTCGGCCGTGAAGAACGCCTTGGAGGAGGCGCAACTGAGGCTGTCGTCGGTCGAGTTGAGGCCATCCAGACAAGCACACATTTTGCCGTTATCGGTAGTCATGGCCATGGAGGACATGGTGGTGGATGACGACAGGCTCCCTTTCCCACGGGCATACGCCTGGTATAGGCTGGTGAAGATTTGGGCTGGGCTTCGCTTCGATGACACACGAGGCACTCCGAACAGGAGCATGGAGCTCAGGGAAGGACATCTGGTGGGAGTGATCCACAAGTCGAAGACTTCGGGTCCAGGGAAGAGAGTTCTCCTTCTCCCCTTCTATGTGAGTCGGGAGGCATGGGTCAGCAGGTACAACTGGTTGGAGGTCGGCTGGAAGATCTGGACCCACATGGCACAGCGAACGGGCCACGCTGAGGACTTGGAGACCAGCAGCTGACGAGGGCTACGAAAGGACGACAAGGGCGAACATCCTCAGGAGCCAGAAGGTGATCGCATCCTTCCTTCGGGACAATCGGGGTCGAGGAGATCCCATGGATGAGTCTGCAGTGCTGGAGGCGGTTAGCATTCGCATGGGCATGCTTGGCTACCCCGATGAGGCGATGGAGGTACAGGTGAGGCTGTTGGAGACCTTTCACCCAGAAGAGGTGGCCCTTGAACCGTGCTGGAGGCCAAAGTGGACTCCATCAGGTCCGGTCGTGCTGGTGGAGCCCGATGAGGACACGCCTGTGAAAGATCCAGCGACAGACACTGGTGACTGTGGCTTTGAAACGGAGTTGGAGGAGGAGCCGGCCCAGAGCGGCCAAGTGGTCGCAGCTGAGAAGATAGCTGGCGCATTTGTTGTTTCGATTGTAGGGCGGTCCCAAACGCGGACGCTGCATCGAGTGGGGGAGTGCCATAGGCAACCTGGCACCCACTATGCCCGTTTTGAAGTTCTCGGAGATGAACCTCCGGAAGCCTCGAAATATCATCGAGCTTGCAGGAATTGCTTTGGCAAAGACGCTGCCATGGCAGAAGGGTCTCCGGAAGAAGAAAGTTCCCAGGACGTATCTTCGTCCGACTCTATGGAGTCCGAAGTGGAGGCCTCATCATGAGACATAGAGGTAACTCATGTTGAAGGGACCAGTTCTGCACAGAGCAGGTGTGC